GCTGAGTGGAGTGGAGTGCAGTAGATCTTGGTTGGTTCGTTGCCAACCAGAGTGAGTTCCTTGTTGCTTATTCTTTCTGGCCTTCTCATCTGAGCTTCAGTAACGAGCCAGCGTAGGCAGTTGTTGATGAATGTCTGTAGTTTGTTGGAAATGCTTTTCGTAACGCGCAAAGTCTCTGAACCATCACATAGAAGCACTGACTTGACTAGTTTAGTGTTGAAAATCTGCATCTTGTTCTTTATGCTGAGTGGAGTGGAGTGCAGTAGACCTCCATACTGATCTCCACAGATTAATGAAGCACTGTCTTACTGTCTTTCCGACGCTGGTTTTGACATCCTCGTCTGTGCCTGTGCAGCCCGTAGTAGAAACGATACTGCCTAGGTAGGTGAAAGAGACTACTTCCTTCAGGTTTCTCCCGTTCATGGTTATTGGTGCTTGTTGTTGATGCTGTTGATGTTGGTTGGGTATCTTCATCACCCCCGTCTTCTCTAAGTTCACCTGAAGGAAGTCCCGTCTTCACTGCCTCTCCTGTCAACTTCTTAGTTTTCGCCTGTAGATCTTCGAGTTTGTGCGATATTAGACATAAATCATCATCGTTGGCGAAATCCAAATCTTCTGGGGTCTTTTGATCGGTCAAACAGCGTATGCCCATCTTCACACAGCTACTCACAGTTTGTTGCATGATCCAGTGCAGTAGACCACAATCACGAAGATCATGGGTGTAAGTAGGCTGCGACCTTATCTTACTACTGTCTTCACTTCAAAAGGCGTCATTGAGCTTTCCATTGTGGACCACTTGGCATGTCGCGCCTTCATATAGTTGTTGAATGAGGTTGATAAAGGTTTGTGGTATTCCGTAGTGTTGAAGCAGTTACCTGACAAATTATTTCTCAGCCTTTTCAACAGCGATGAAGTTGAGGTAGAGAGTTGACTGCCATTCTACGCTCTGTTGTATGATGATGCGTGGCGTAGCGTTGCAAGTTCGTCCACACATGATTTGTTCTTCCTGAAGCCAGCCAGCCAGCCAGCCAGCCAGCCAGCCTGTCCCGGTCGCAGTTTTGAATCCAGCGCATCCTTTAGTCTCTCCAGGATGATGCGGCTTAATATTTTGCTTGGGGTGGATAGGAGCATGATTCCGCGCTAGTTCTTGCAAAGACTTAGGTCTCTTTTCTTTGGGAGTTTGACAAGGTAGCCCTTCTTCTAATCACCAGGTACCTTTTCTCTCTTTCTCCCAGACCTTCTGCAATAGTGGTGTGAGCATGTCCACTGTTGTCCCTGTATCTGTTTTCAGTGCTTCTGTCGGAATTCCATCTGGTCCTGTTGCTTTCCCGGATTTCAGCAACTGTATGGTGTTCAGGATTTCGGCTTTTGTTGGAGGATTTGTGTTCACTGATAGTTCAGTGGTGGTGATGGTGGTCGATTCAAATGGTCGGCCCATTGTTTCCTTTGTTTCTCCTCCTTGTTAACTAAGTTCCCTTCACTATCCTTCATTGGTTTCATCCGCGTTGATCTCTTCCCGGATAGTAACCTGGTTATTTGATGTAGTGTTGTCAGGACTCTCCTACATGCTTCGTGTTCTGCTTCACTTGTCAGTGTGTCGTGGAAGTGTATTTTGTCTTTACGCTCACTCTTCTTCACTTCTTTCTCCAATGTAGTGTTTTATAGGATGTGTTCAGTTCCTTTTTTCGTTGTTCGAAATATCACTAAGTCAGGGACGACAATCAAACATCTATCATTGGAAAAAGCAAGGAATTGGTTGGCCAAGTTCGATGCCTTAAATGTAGGAGCTTCTTACGAACTTCCTTTTTTTCAGATAAAGTAGTGTTAACTCCTCATACAGCAACATGCAATAAGTGTTTCTAGGGCACTGAATCTGCTCAACTGCTTTTCCAAACACTCCACCCAGCCTTGTATTATTATTATATTATTTCTCCATTATGTACCTCTTACTGGAACATACATCTTCCGTAGCACGTCTCCATTTCACTCTGTTCTCTGAAGTATTTTGAACCTAGCTCCACGACTGCCCACAAGCTCTCATTTCCTCCTCACACGATCTCCTCCATTTCACCCTCAGACACCCAACTCGTCGCTTCCCATTTGGTTTCCACTCGAGAGCCTGGTCTGATGCGTGATATCAGCCAGCCTGTCCCGGTCGCAGTTTTGAATCCAGCGCATCCTTTAGTCTCTCCAGGATGATGCGGCTTAATATTTTGCTTGGGGTGGATAGGAGCATGATTCCGCGCCAGTTCTTGCAAAGACTTAGGTCTCTTTTCTTTGGGAGTTTGACAAGGTAGCCCTTCTTCTAATCACCAGGTACCTTTTCTCTCTTTCTCCCAGACCTTCTGCAATAGTGGTGTGAGCATGTCCACTGTTGTCCCTGTATCTGTTTTCAGTGCTTCTGTCGGAATTCCATCTGGTCCTGTTGCTTTCCCGGATTTCAGCAACTGTATGGTGTTCAGGATTTTGGCTTTTGTTGGAGGATTTGTGTTCACTGATAGTTCAGTGGCTGGGCTGCTGGTGGTATTTCTGGACGAGTTGCAGGTGGTGATGGTGGTCGATTCAAATGGTCGGCCCATTGTTTCCTTTGTTTCTCCTCCTTGTTAACTAAGTTCCCTTCACTATCCTTCATTGGTTTCATCCGCGTTGATCTCTTCCCGGATAGTAACCTGGTTATTTGATGTAGTGTTGTCAGGACTCTCCTACATGCTTCGTGTTCTGCTTCACTTGTCAGTGTGTCGTGGAAGTGTATTTTGTCTTTACGCTCACTCTTCTTCACTTCTTTCTCCAATGTAGTGTTTTATAGGATGTGTTCAGTTCCTTTTTTCGATGTTCATCCTTGCACTGCACTGCACTGCACTAAATTACACTGGTCCGTCTTCTGTTTCACCATCTTCCTCTCCCTGCTCTATCGGCTCCCATGTATCCATCGAGATCCATTCCTTATCTTCTTTCCTCTTCCTTCCCAATAAGGTTATGCAGGTTTCATTCCACATAGCTTTCAAAGAGTTCCAGTGTTCTTCCACACCCAATCCTTCAGGGATGTTGCTCAATGTCTCGCATTTTGTTCTGATGGCTGCCGTGAAGATTTCTTTTGTAGTTTCGTCCTTCAGTTAGTTTCTGTTCCGGGTGTTGAACTTGAACTGTAGTCTATCACCAACTTCTCTGAAGGCTTCCAACTAGATTTGGAAGGTTCCTTGCACTCGATGGTGAGTGGTGTGGTGCTACATCTGCTCGTCTTCGTGATCTTGTGTCCAGTAGACTGCGTCTCCACTTTCTTCACATTGAGATGAAGTCGATCTGATTTTTAGTGTAGTGTGTCCTGGTTTCTGGTGAAATCAACTCCATGTCGCTTTGTGAATATACTTGTGTTTGTACACACTGTCTCCAATCACCAAATCGTTGAATGCCCAGAAGTCTGCAAACAGTTCTCCATTGTCACTCATTTCACCGAGTGCTTCTCGGCGCATGATGAGTTCTCTTCCTGTATTGTCCGCTCCCAGTTTGGCATTCATGTCATCTATTAGAATTTTGATGTCGTCAACTGGAGTGTAGTCTTGTCCATTACTGATTGCAGTTGTCTGTAGAATTAATCCTTCTCCTCTTGATCTGCATTATTTGTAGGTGCGTAGCGTAGCGTAGCATAGCATAGCATAGCATAGCATTGTACGATTGTGACTTTCCTTCCTTTTGCGTTGAACCTTACTGTCATGATCCTGATGCTGGAGAAGATTGGTTGCCACTGCATGAGAGCCTTCGATGCTCTCAGGGACATCATGATATCCACTCCAAAACTCAGTGTGCTCGTGGTTGTCGTCTGGGTGACAATATCGGAGTAGATTATTGACTCTCCAGTTGACAGTTGAGGGAGTCCACTTCCATTCCATCTGCTTTCGCAGATTCCTAACACTTCACTGCTATACCTCCTCATCTCTTTGGCAATCTGGACAGCCTTGCCAGTCAGCCTCAAACATTGTGAGGACATTCTATTTCCCCATCCTTACTTTTGCTTTAATCGAGAGAAGACACATCGGCGAATTGGCTTCCCGAACGCTTCCACCGACCGGCGTCATTTCGCCTCCCTGATTCCATGGAGGAATAAGTTTGTTTTCATTTTCTTTGTGCTTTGAAGTTTTTTTAGCGATTGGATTGGTTTTCCGGGGTAGTGTTGCTGGCTTTATGCCTAACCTTCCCTCTTTATAAAGGCTTAGTATCGACTAGTAACTGGTGAACTGTTTAACCAGTCTAGGTTAGATTAGATGATGAAAAGATGTTATTCTAAATTTGCTGTTTTTACAGCACTGTAATTTACTATGATTTCTATATGACGTTATTAATTTGGTATAATGTCATTTGCGCTTGAATATGTAGCATATATATATATATATATATATATATATATATATATATATATGAATATGTACATATATATGTAACCTGTCGAAGAGATATTATTTTAATAGATACGCCATCTTATGTCTTTCCTTCCGTATTCGGTATGTGTCGTTTTTATCTGTTCCAAACTTGTTTTCTGAAGGTTTTGTATTGCATCTTTATCAGTTATCTACCTACGTAACTTTGTTATCTATACTTTGTTGAAGAAAACTAATGTTTTACATTAAACAGGCTAGCAGCGAGTTTGAAAGTTCGTCTCAGCATGTGACTATAAAACATAATCGGAAACATAACGTGAGAGTTCCCTTCTGCTACATGGAGCATAAAAGTGTGTATGCCAGTTGACTTATACTTTCAAGCCTTGTTTTTTATTAGGATTTGAGGTACCCACTGTTAAAATTTTCAATCGAAATTTATGCGCTGTCCAACATTCTTCAACTTTGAGTAATTTTTGCCTCACTTTCATTTTGTTGAAGTCTCTGCAACTGTAAACTTTACGGTTCACAAATATAATAATAAAAGAAAAAAATTCTTCTCTTAACTGTCGTCTTTTAATTTTTAATTCATCATAACCTATCTGACACACATATTCCTCATTTCCTCAGCTTGCTTCATATTATTCTGTGGTGTTCGATGCCCGCAAATTGTGCAGGAAATGATATTAGACGAAATGAGGCATGAGAAATCTGCCCAAAGATTCAATGCAATATTAAGGTGAGTTTCATTTGTATTTATGGCGTATCCCGTTAATTATCGGTATGAATTTCGGCAGTTATTTATGTTGCAGAATAGGTTTTTCTTCTAGAATTGTGAATGGTATCAGTCAGCAGAACACTACAACTATGCAAACGAACTACAGTCACTTGTTGGTATAAAGTTACTGATATATATTATGAATGCAGTCATAAAGTACGAAAACAACAATGACATACTGACTTGCTACCTCTAAGAGAATAGAGATATGGCGTATACATATAACAAGAAATGAGAATCAAAGACGGTTCTTCGTAGATATCTGATGACGTAGCGATAGTGAGTCGACAGGCATTAAATAGGCATTTTCGGTAATAGTTAAACAGAGCAATGCTTGATAAAATCTCACTATTTTTTGATTTTTCACCACCGTAGTGGGAAATATATATCGATTAGGTTTTTAAAACTGTAATGAATTGTCACTGAAAGTTTTCCTCGGGATATGTAATAAAATAATTTGATAGATCATATAAGAAACGATGTGAGAGGATAAACAGTGCATCACTAAGCTGTCTACTTTCTGCCAGAATAGGTCTAGGCTGAAACACTAGCAAATATATTCTGATACATGAAAAGAGACCAAAACCACTCTTTTTATCACCTTGGCATGAACACAGGCAAAATTAGTGGAGTTAGAAAATCATATTATTTGGGGCTAGGAATCTAGCAGAGTTGTAAATCACGGTTTCAAATAGCCATTGCACTTCACGCTTTTCATAGTTTTATTGCTTGATGTAGATTTAATGAAATCATGATAAATGGTTAATTGAGTCATTAAGTTATTGGTGGGTTATAACAAGTGAGCGATGAGGTGTTCGGGTGTGGCTTTGATAACATACTGGCGAAATCAGTTTTCATTGGAATGGTTACCTCTTCAGTGAAGGTAAGCCGCTATAGTTAATCTGAATATTTCATATCGTGACCACCAACCTACCATCAATTTCATGGTAGTTGCTATTTCAGAGTAATGACATCGTAGAAAGTAGTTAGCCTAGTAATCTTCATCTAAGCCAATTACTTACTTAGTCTGCAGTTATTCTGAATCTACTACTGGTAACACGTAAAAGAACTCCTAATCACTCATTTTGTGATACATGTTTTGTAGGTAAAAGTTTTTTATTTATCCATGTGGCAATTTTTCTGGTTAATTGTTGTCTTCTGACATGAGTTCAACTGGAAGTTTCGCATACAAAATTAAGACCTCATGAGCAGCCATCATGTAGCCACTTGATCTCATCAATTTGATAAATAAACACGCTTTCTATGGCGTCCATTTCTTTGTCATAACAGAATTTAGGAGTGCATTTATACCTCAGCAAGCGTATATTTCATAAACAGTTTACAGGCAAAATAAAACCCTAGTTGCTGAAAGTTATCAAAAGCCTTTCTCCAATTGTATAAGTGACTAGAATAAACCAAATGGTCTCAAGCAGAATTCTGATAAGATGATATTCCGTCATAGAAATGTTTCAAGCTGCTAAGAGGTGGTAAGAATGAAACGAAAGGAATTTCAGCATAAATGCTAGTCCCAACCTTTCGCGTGCTGGAACACTATAACAAATACCTGAAATTCGTTGAATTTGAAAAGCCTTTAGAAAGCATGCTTTTAAATACTTACAACTTTCTATATAGGCTAAAAAGATATAGTGTATATTCGCGTGCAGAAAGCCTTCATTTGTTACGCTTGTTGATATTGGGTAGTGCACTGAGAGGTTTATAGCAGATGGAGTCTTTAAGTGTTGACTTGGAATTTGAAATATCTTCCTAAATACCCTTAATTTGTATTTCTACAGTAGGTGAAAGGTACTTGTCCTTTTATGTGTGTTTGATTCCTTAAGATTACTGCGGAGAACTCATTTTCTTCAATAAGTTTCGTGATCTTTCTTTCAGTAATGATAAGTGCTAAAAAATTTCGTTTCCAAACCTATGAACTGTTAGATAAGTATCTCATTAGGTGTGGTGATTTTAAGTTTTCCATTTTTCGTATTGTTTTGTAGATTTAGAACGTTATGGTGTCATCGTTTTCATGTTTGGTCACGTCTTGAAAATAATGCACCGAATCAATTAAAAGTGCCACCACCATTTATTGAATTTGTCTTACCTTCCCCTACTTTGGGATACCCGGGCTTTGAAGCTCCAGATCCTGTCTGGCAAATCCGCAAAGGAACGTCGGCTGAAGAGGTTCAGCTGAAACAAAACGAAGCTACGGTAAGTAGTGTGAAGTCACTTTGCAGTGGTGTATATTCACTTTGACTAATTAAGTGAAGACTATATAAGACGACAAATGTGAATATCAGTCAGATCAAATCTGACAAGATTAGGGACTAAGAAAACTGGTAACAATAAAATTTGACAAAATAGATTAAAATGAATTAAAAAAGAACTAGTCGTAGTCATTAAGGTAAGCTATGTTCGAGTTGTTGAAATTAACTATGCTAACTGTTCCTGCACACGGTCCCAACTTTCCAACTGTGTAACGTCATGGCTTCTGTGGTAGAATTAGGTGTATACATATACTTTTCATAAACTTGGTTTGATTTTGTAAATATTACCAAATGACGGTTTGTTGGCTTAATAATTGAAGTCAACTACATTTTGAAAGACCGATGAATTTGTGGTTCTGCATTAAGTTTTACCTGAAAAAATAAAGTTCTCTTGAATGCAGCGGCGAATGTTTTTCGACGAACACCTTAGCTAAATGAGAGTAGGCGAACACTTAAAAACACATTGAATTGGAAATTAGAGGTAATATTTCCTAACGTAAAGATAGACCGAAGGATGGCTGGTGTAGTCTATGCGTAGAGATGCTATGTAGAATGTTTTTCTCTTCAACTTTGTCAGAACGTCGTCTCAAAAATTACTCCTCAATCCCTAATTCTAATGTATAAATGCACTGGGTGTGAGTACTACTAGAATTTACGTTTGTTTTTTATTCTATGGGGTCTAAAATAGTGCGTCAGTACTCTGTTCCACATTGGTACTAAATCACATGAAAGTAAGTGGAATGCTTCAGTGCATGAGAAGTTTGGAGTAAAAGTAAACAAGTCTTGTACTTAGGTCCTATGCTTGAGGGAACTAATACTCTCTGAGTGTCGATGCTGAGTAACTCGGGTTTAAACCAGTGAATGAATACTAGTTTTCCTATGGCTGTAGAAACACCTTCCCATTGGAAGCCAGCTAGCCTGAAACCTAAGTTCGAAGTCTCCTGACAATTGGTTCAATTTTAACATAATCCGCTAAAATACAGTGCACCTCACTGTCGCCTCATTTAGCCTAGAGGTGATATTACAAACTTGATAGCTGGACTTCGATTAATGCTGAGCACTGCTAAGTCGGTCATCATCTAATGTCCAATCCATGTACGCTTAAGTGTCTTAGCGTATTACTAAATCTGCTGGTGAGGTAAGTCATTGACGTAACAAAACTTCATATCTACTGATTAAAGTCTATAACCAGTCAGGTGTCTTTATTCTTGTAAAGGTCAAAGAATTTGTCTCACGATCTTCTTTCATGGAACACAAGTGCTGAAGATAAGGAGTACTCTACCAAAACTACATGTGCTACGTTAACTCATCATGTGTGAAAGGCCTGCTCATCAAGTCACGATATCATCATCTTCTAATTTCGAATATATTGAGAATAATCAGCTAAAGACCAGTATCTTTGACGTAGCAGGAATTATTAATTAAATACATTTGATAAATGACTAGCGGTTAATTCTGAGCCCCATCTATGCATACTCAAATTCTGTCTAAAACGAGTGCCAATATTACCCATCCAATTTATTCTGTAGTGTTACTGTACCAATAACAAGTATGAAAACTTCGATAGGTTAAAATACATAATAATTTCAGTACTGATCAAGCATTCATTATGTATATCTGACTAATAATTTACCTTTTTTGATAGAAAACATTCGTTACAGCTTCAACATCAAGGCGCAAACAACAACAAGAACTACTAGCTCGTGCTATAGCCACGGAAACAATGCGAAGAAGAGAAGCAAGACAATCGTTTCACTTGACAACTTGTCCCGTTCTTGAACGTGCAGCTATTGAACCAGCTTTTAATAAAGAACATAGAGATGAAAGCAATATTGATGACAGTGAGTTATAGATGAGTGTGTTTGTTTTATTAGTCAGTCGACATAAGTTACGTCTTCGAAATAGTCATATTTTATGGTGATAAGCTGTCACTAATATCATTTAGTTTCTCTTTAGCCATTACCTTGATGCTCTAAGCCTTAATATTGAGCTAAAAGCATATTACTAATTTTCTAGCCTAAATACCTGTGGTGGAGATTCGTATTTTACTTTGTGTTGTAGTTATTAACATATAAAAACGCATAGTTGTTATATTGTAAGTAGAAACAAGGGTAAGTGTTGTTCGTAACTCGTCTTGTTTTGCATTCAGTAGATGATGTGTCAAATCTGGTAATAAACAACGCTGATTTCCAATTAGAGGGACATATAATAAGCAAATGACCTAAAAGGGCACCTTAACAACTGAGATAACCAATTACGTGATTTATGAAAAACCAACTTCCGAGCTGAAACTCCGGAATTTGATTGGTAATTTCACCAGTTGCTAGGGTCTCCATAAAGTCACTCATAATAAGCTATGATTTTGTAACATTTGAAACTTACATTGTAAGCTGTTAGTCATATAATGCTATAACAAGTCCAAAAGTTTTTATTTTCACTCATTATCGGCACATCCGTAGAAATCATGACATCATCGACGAGAATGTTTGGTACAAAATATGTTTCATAAATTAATGCAGTGAGACTGATAAACTTATCCAACCGGTCATTACTGTGGTGATGGCCTGGAATATGAATCACTGCTTAAGTTAGTATCAAAGTTATGATTGCAGCTCATATGATTAATATTAGCCTGTCTGGGATCCAAACACGTCAGTTGTTACGATGGCCTTTTTTAATTCAAATTTCCCATTTTATGGACTCTTTTGGTCACTTTGTTCACAATATCATAAGGGACATTATGCGAACGACAATTTGTCTCGGTATCTTTATTTCTAATGCATCTACTTATTGGCTGTGGAAAACCATTCGTTCTGTAAACTATTGAGTAGTTGATCCCCTTTCAGTCTCATTATTTCGTAGATTATCTCCGCAGTGATGAGAACAAGTAAGCAGAATGTCAACTTGACAAGCATGTCTGATTTAAAACCTAAAAGTAAATACTTGTAGATGTGCAATGGTGTTGTTATGAGTCTAGTTTATTGCAAATCTGATTTTCAATAATGCAGTTTGATAAATTTACTTCATTTTCGAAAAGTAACTTCATTATAAATATAAATGGCATTAGCAAGTCTAAAACATACTTTTGGATTCATAGATTAAACGTTTCTCCATCTCAAAAGCAGTTTCTTTTTACCACATTTGTCTTAAGGATTCAAATACTTATCAGTCAATGCCAAAGTTTTTGGTATCTACTACTAAGGAACCGGAAATAAGAGTGAAAATGAATATCTCCAATTCCTATTAATTGTCTTAGTGACACTGAATTCGTCCCAGACCTATTTTTTGTTGGCCTAACTGAAATAAACAAGAAATTTCACGTGTTTACAGTTCATTTCTAGTTTGTAAAGATGTGAAGAAACTTTTATATATCTGTTGACCATTAAGACGTTTATTTTATCACGGTTCAAACTGTGTCTATATAAGATGGATATCCTTAAATTAGTTGCGTATCTTTGTTTCACATGAGTTATTTGGTTCCTAGTGTTTTTAATTTATTTGCCCTGATAAAAAGGAAATGATGGTCATAGCTCTGATATCTATTGCAATTACTCAGTAAAGCAAGCATAGTACTAGAGAAAGTTGGGTTTATCTCCTTGTGTTGCTGTAGTTTTTTATTCGTTATTGGGCATTTTAACTGAAGACATTAGCACTGAATTAATTGAATGCACTTTCATTTTTGATTTATGTACGGTTAGAAAAGTTGTTTTTATTCTGTGAAATGAATAATTTGTTTTCGTGGATTCACTTTTCTGAGGTATAGCAAATTCTGGTGGAGGTAATAGCGGGACAACTGGTGGACAGATAGGAGGGTCCAGTTCAATACAAGACGAATATACTGCAGCTGTTCGAAGGTTGAGTCTCGCACCAATTAATCGCACAGTACTCAATCAAGCTCGTAATTTATCTTGGCGTCAAAGTTCAATACCGTGGTTGAGAAATAGTGTAATTGCACATGACGGTAATTAAGCATACTGCTAGTTAAACCACTTTTTCCCTAGGTATTTATTTTTAATCGTGCACGATGTAACATCATCTAAATAGCTTGCAGAAACATTCTAAGGAAGTGTTTTGAATTTGAAGCATGATTCAAGCCTAGAGAGTTAGCATTAGTAGACTGATATTGAGAAAATCTAACTCAAACGTAATGAAAGTCAGTAGGGATATGCTAGATAATAATAATATATGGGCCGCATTCAATGAAGTAGTGCTTGGCATCAAATCAACAGATATTTTAATTGGATGGTAAATTAATCAATAATAACCGGAGTCAAAGATTGTAATCAGTAATTTTCCAGTTTACATATTATCTGGTGACCGTCAGTACAGCTTTTAACAACAATGCCGAATAGCATTTTCACACCAGTAACTTCCCAGTGTTAAGGTTATATTATCTATTATAAAGTTTTCCGTCAATACATAGGTTTAGTACTACCAAGAATGAAACTGAGTACTAGAAACCAATACAAACTGTTAAAATAAAAGCAGTGTATTTTGACTGACTGCTTTCTGAACAGCTGATCACGTGCTGTTTTTCGATGTGTTTATCGTACCACTAAAAGAATACACTATCTAATATAAGCAAAAAGTAAACAAAGGTGTTGACATTACTCTCCTCACTATTATTTTTTAGAAATTTTCTACTCATGTTCGTCCGTGGTAATATGAACTCATCATGGGTCGACGGCTGGTTTTATTTAAAATGCTTCTTAGCGTACACTCTCTTAAAGATTGTTCTGATCACTGACTGTAATCAGCCTATAAACCACTATAAACTAGACATTACTGAATAGATATTTCGTGATATTTTCGTTCTTTTAATGCAATGGAGAGAATTTGAGTTTTGCAACAACTATCTAACCTTTGAATGACTATGGTGAAGTCCAGTATTCAGTTTAATTAATCTTTTCATATTGTTATTTGCGTCAAAAGTACATACTTACTTGAATTCAAAGTCATAAGCTGTCCAATGCTGAACAGATTTCTCAAATTGCAAGAACTAACTATCCAAATGTCAGATGGTTAGTTTTAGCTTAAGACGTAAACAAGACACATGTAAATTGCTTCAGTCCGATACTCTTGTCTTGTTGATAGTTCTGTTGTGGAGAATGTATCCAGCGTGATCCATCTTCGCTTATGCTTTTCTTCTGATTTTTTCTAGTCCCTTCACCTCTTACTGATTTCAGGGAAAACCCTTCGCTTGGCCTTTTACGTTGGGGAACTCAGGTTGTCTGGGATAACTCAGCTTCTACTCTTAGGTTTCATTACCTCCTGTGTTTTACTTACTTATTGTTCCCTCTTATTCTTTTCTGAACCTCGGAAAAAAGACTATGCTGAATCGCATAGGATTTTGAAAGCTGTTAGTATATCAGGTGGTATACCACTAACAGTGCTGATAAATGCGGTCATGGATAGGCATCTGAACTCTTGTTGACAGGTGGCCAAAACTATTGTATACGTTGACAGTCATTCTCTGCATCTGCATCTTTCTCCGTTTCTGTCCTCTGGGAAAACAAGAAGCAAATATATTAAACTCTACACATGTACAACTACATAGAAAAATCCAACCATATCACCTTATTTAGCTTGCCTATTGTGTGAAGAAAGTCATATTAGACATAGTCTTATCAATCAACTTTATAACAGTTATTATGAACTCGAAGTCATTAAACATTTCTACAATCATGTTATTCTTTATTGTGTATGGCTAAATAGCACCATTGTTAATATATATATTTGAAATATGTTGTACAACGGGTAAACGGATGCAATATCACATGCTGAGAATTATGTATTGTAAACATTATTATGGTTAAGAATAAAGCAAATATATTATTATATTATGTTAGAGTTCCTTCAAAGAAGTCAACATCTCAAACCATAACATGTTTTTTGTCTAGCTCTTCAGGATCTCTAGCGTTTTTAGAGAATAATTTTATCGAATAACACTTACTGCTTGTTATTGTTTTATCGTGTTGTGTTGTTTGTTAAAACTAATTATTTTTTATTGGTCATGCAGACGAAGATCGTTGGTTGAATGGATTTCATGCCTTATTTCCATCACAACCACTCCAGCAAGCTCAACTGATATTCCCATCTGCTTTATGCTCTGCATCAGTTTCACTAATTCACTTGTTAGACGATACAGCAATTAATGAACATGGAATAGCCGGTAAGTCGGTTTTCATAAATTAACCATATCATTTGAAATGATCATGAAACTGATTACCTTTTTGTAAAGATCAAGTAAACTTTTACTGTAGTAGTTATTCCAAAAATTACGTTTAAGTTACTATATGACATTCTATGAAAAAATGTTTTTGCAACCTACAAAAATAAATCTCTGAAGTTTTTTTCTTTTACTGAACTATTTATTAGTTGATAGATCACTGGAGAGCGACCAGTTTCATGTTGTCTAGTCCTGAGTGCTGACTGAATTCTGTCGGTCATTTCACAGTGTATCTACCCAGCTAGGAAGCTCGCCATCGCGATACACTTTGACGAGTGTTATTTGGTTGGAGACGATAGGCAGGAAGCCCTAAACCTGGGTTTCATTCCTGTTGGCACTCGTTAGCAAGGGATATCTGTAACCTCAAGGGGACTGATGTGGCTGACTACAACGCTGGTGACCTTGGTTCAAATTTCCGAAGGGAACTCATCTCTCCTCAGGTTTCAGATAACTCTCGCTGACGAGTGTTAACTAGCACTAAACCGAAATCGAGGGTTTTCAGCCGATTGCATTCAATAAACTAGCATCCGTCCAGACAATGTTTTCAGTATGCTATGTCACAAATAGTAAACTGCAGATAGTATTTTTTTTCCGTTGCATATTGTCTGTTCTAAAACACAGCTATGCAAACGATGAAGTTGTTTAATTTGAATATAATTACTCAATATTTAGGGACTGATTTTGAAGAGGTCCTTCACCAAATTCTGATCAAAGATCTTGACGCATAAAGAGTCTTTGCTGACTAATAACTTTGGAGGAGGTTATTCTTCATTCTTGATTCGCTGAAAGTGGTGAGGAAAAGTGATCAATTTACAAAACTATTCGGTTATGAAGAAACAGCTTACAATGAAATCCAAAGACTGCTTTCTGTAAAGAATGAATAATTCTCACCTAAGGCATTCAAAAATAGATGAACCGATTACCAAATGTTCTAGTCTTTCAAAGTACTCACTGATTTGATATCACTTCATGAAGGCATGCAAACCTCAAGACAGTTTTCACGTCAGTTGACATCAGTTGGAGAACAAATGGAAACCTAAAAGTACTGGTTACTAATGAGTCTCATACTAGGACAAAACAGACCTCTAGTGCTTCCAGCTTTCCAATGATTCTACAACTGATATCCATCCGGAATGAAAACTGCTTTGGGATCAGATAATCTACATATATCTGTCGTCTTATTAGTCAAGTTATCAAAGGACCTGCACAAAAATAAAGGTTTGATTTTCCTAGTCTCAAATGAATCGAATGCAAAAGCTTTAACTTTTATTCCACGGAATGCAGACTTAGTAAACTCACCTGCTCAGAAGAAGAAAATGCATAGTTCTCTGAAGACTGCAAACAATGGGAATTACCACGAGGAGTAAAATTCAAACTATTTTCACTCAGCCACCACCAATATTAAAAAGAATAGTAGTAATAATCGCTTTATTTTAAACAACATTTGTAATACATTCTCGACATACACACGACCTAGAATTACAGTGTAACGGTTGACGTTACCACACATCATATCACCTCATCGAGGCATAAGTCACTGAGATGTATGGGAAAGCACGTGATAAAAAGTAGTAGAAAGTCATACAAAGAGGGGATAAAAGGAAAAAATCATAATCAAACTCAGTATGACAATAAGGATAAAAGAATGTTTAGGTGCATCTCCGTCGTTGAAATTGATTATCAACTATGACATCTGGGCTTGAAATACATGTTCCTAAGCACGGTCGTGCAGGCACTCGCCACCATTCATTGATTCAGTTGAATTTCCTAGTCTCACCTAAATGTCTTTCTACCTTGCTTCCCCTATTGTACCATAGGCTCTAACTGACCGACTGATGACTGATTGCATGAGCTTTGGTAGATTTATGTACTTATCTTGTACCGTTTTTAGTAAAAGACACTGATATGAGACTTTTGTCTTGATGGAATCCAGTGTCACCTTCACGGCAATAAACAAAGTTAGTGTCAGGTGACGGTAAGTGTGCTCGTGAACTAAGATCGAGCGGAAAATCAATATCTGGTCGATAAACATTCGATTTTTTCTGAAATGTATGTGTTTTTTCAGATTCGGCGTTCTTAGAATTTAATTAGACGTTTAATAATGTCAGCACCTCCAATTTTAGACACTATGTTCGTCAGACTAATTCCTCTGGGTGTTATCCTAAATGACTTTGTCGGTCTTTGTGAAGACTATGAAAAGGTGCTTGAGGTCAGTCGAACGAAATACATCTGTGTTATACTTCAGTTTACTGAACCAATACACCTCAGCTACCATCCTTAAGTGGTTCCAGTGCAAGCCCGTCAAGATCTCCTATCCATATTTTTTTCTGGTGATTTACGGCCTTCCCAACCTTGGCTAGATTTGAACGGCCTATCATAATGTGCCATTAAAGAGTAGGCAACCAAACTGTAACGTGATCTCGTTTGAACTACTTTTCGGATTTTATCATCCATTGCTTTAGTTGTCTCCTATACCGGCAAATCGCCTACTTATTCTTCTCATTGATAGCCTCGCTAAGCATCGACTTTTTGACCACAGTTTCTTTCAACAGTCTTAATGAACTACCCTAAAACAATTGCCTCTTTCATCTATTCGACCTTCCGTGATTTCGACTCTTCACGGTCATTGAGTAGACTCTTTGTCAGTTTACGTTTGAGTTTCTCCAGTTTCTCATTGTGTCCCAAGCTTGCATGAATACGTTGACATGTATTCATTATTTCAGTAGAATTTTCTGGTATCTACTAGGCCACTTTAAACTTGAGGGTCAGTTATGATCTCCAACACTGTTTTTACCGCAGACTGCAGATTAGTAACATTGTCCTATTCCGATAATTATCTGTCCAATTCCTATCCTAAAACAACACTCACAGTCGCGTCACAGAACTAAATTTCAAGTCGGTTTTCTACACCTAAATAGATGTAGACATTGGCGTGCTGGAACCAGTGAGTGATCACTGCCCAAACACTTGGTTTAGAAGCAGTGCCAATCGTTCACCGATTGTCTGCAGCAGCATCGGATATAATTATATTGCAACAGTGTCCGCAGTTGAAATAAGAACACAGGATATCATGTCAGGTAATGTATTTTTCATGTCCAAAACATGTGCTGGGCTTGAAATAGATGTTTTTAAGCACGATCTTGCAGGCACTCACCACCATTCATTGATTCAGTTGAATTTCCTAGTCTCACCTAAATGTCTTTCTGTCTTGCTTAGCGTATCCCCTTGTTTGCTGGAATCATCCACCACGACAAGGACATTTAGACGTTTGGCTTTCAGAATACCATCTTAAGTGTAACGTTTCTGTCTCTATTAAAGACATGATTATCATCTATGGTGACTGATTCAAATGAATTTGAAGCATCTGTTGCAATGGTATACATTAACATGATAACATAATAAGGATGATTGGAAATCTAAAGAAAAACAGAATAAGTTAAAAAGCATTGACAAATATCTGAATTGTTATGAAATTTAAAGTTTTTACTAGCACTCTATAGATTGTTTAGGTGTTTTTCGTAACAGCAAGGGTAAGAAACTTTTTAACAATATCTCAGACGAATCGAGAAAAATAAAAAGTGACAGAAATACTTTCAAATCGTACGCCTATCAAAAATTTAGAATAAACTGCAGTCTTATAGAAATCTAACAAAGTCTATATGCTAAGTTTTACTTCAGGGTACTTTTCAACGCAAACTATAACTATGATGTCAAGAAAGTTCATTCTTTCGCAAACTCAAGCCCATTTCATGTATTTCTACATTCCAAAAAATATTTGCTCTCTTGTTAACAGTTATTGAATCTATGGTTACCGGTTTCGAGTTTCAATGGGAACAACACCACTCACTGGAGTGCAGATACATCCAGCTGACCAGTCTTAAATCGGACGGAACACACATCCTGAATTCTACTGCTCTTCGCTTAAATGGTTATTCACAATTACTTTATAGCAGTAAGCATATGTATTCGTGAACCTGTAGAGCAAAATACAGGTGTCCTAAATCGGCATTCCCAGTGTGAAATGATGGATAAGAAGTCATTCATTTTGACTACCGACAACATTATTTGCAATGTGATGGAATGTAATCGGCTAAACCAAGTAAAATGTTCTATCATCCCAACAAGACTCGACCTTGAACCGCTCAGGGAGTACGAAGTACTATGAGCATTCTGCTCATATCGATTAGACGATAGCTGTGTGCCTGTTTGTCTTAACACTTACATTGCAGTTACTGTAAGGGCCACCCTAGTAGCTGCAGAAATAACCAATCAAATTTCAGTATTCAGGTTAGAAGGATAGTTTTTCATAAAATAAAGAAAAGTAATTGATTGTCCTAACAGTTGCTAGAGTGACTTTCAAAGTCACGCCGTACGTTGTCGTATAAGTTTTCGAACAGTGAGAAAGGACTCTGTGATTGGCCACGGCGAGAGGCTGGCCATTTAACTGTAGTGTTCAAGGCTTGACAAAAATATCACAACAGACTGATAGATTCCTTTCTATGCTGAGAAGCTGTAGTTGTAATAACGAGCTATTTCATAGGTCATCCTAGCAACTGTTCAGATAACCAACGAGGATACGATATTTTTTGAAAAACTACCTTGTTACTGGAATACCAAAACTTGATTGGTTATTACAGTTGCTAAGGTTGGCCTTTCTAACATTAGTTTACTATGAATCACACCTAAATTAACATTTTATTATGTATTTCACTCTAAGTACGTATGAATACTGTTACAAAAACGCCTACCTACTGCTTTTTCTTTTTTCAGTTAATACAATGGCTGAATATGTGATATTCAATTGTCTAGTGGAAGACACAACACTATTTTTACGGTTTATATTCGAGCGTCTGACGCGTATAAGAAATAAAGATGAATTAATGTTTATTCTACGCAAAATGATTCAACGTCTGCCTGAATTACCAATGCAAACTGCTCATGCGATATTTAACAATCTAGTAAGTTGATGTATCAACTTTTTTCCCTGCTGATGATGATCATTGAATAAATGATAGAGAATTCACTCATGGTCAAAGAGGAAGACTTACGACGAGTTTTTGGTTATCGTTTATGTTTAAGCTGTACACAGAACACTGAACGTATCGCAATGTTTATAACCACAGTAGTATACTAAGCTCCAATGTTGACCAGAGTTTGTCAATCGGTTTTTAATAATCATTTTTCGGGAGCTTATAACCCTGCGTTTCAGTGGATACAGAACACTGAAATCTATGAAGAAGCAAGTTTAACCAATCGGTGGAGTACCCAACTTCAATTTAACTGATAAAAGCATAATCAGTTTCGTTACAAGCACCTATTGACTCATTGTGGAAGTCTGAAAATCATGATTGGCACGACAGTTGCCTGCTCCTGTTGATCTTTGTACTTCATCTGATCCTCACTTCAACCTTTTACCTTTACAACCTCGAATATGCAGGTTATCTAGTAGAACGTTTCTTTCAATTTATGCCAACTCTTCTAACTTAATAACGGTCAGATATTTTTCTTCAGGATTTTATAACGAAATCATTGTTATTTGAATATGATTGCAAAGTAAAGTTAGCAAACAAATATCCTGACCGATAGCTGAAACCTCAACATGGTGGTCGGGTGAGGTGTTTCATTTAGATGACGCAGTGCTAAGCTGATGCCACCTTCATTATTGGAACAGGGGGAGGTGAGGAAACGCTGGCCATAAAAATAGCACGATTTATTTTACATCGTGGGACATCGGTGCTAGTGATACGAGCTCATAGTAGAAGTCGAAATTAACAAACTTAAATCTCAAACTTACAAACGGGCCGTGTATGATTGGCCTCAGTCAAATACTTCTAAGTCTCGGAGGTCACACATTGACCCTTTTTCAAGCACTTCAAAGGAACTAGCCTTCCACAATGCAGGCAGACTGGAAGTGTCCACTGCCTTCATAACTCTGTCACCATTCAACTTCCTTAAAATCGTTATAAAATTTCCATATCTTTACTTTCTGATCTTTCTTCTCGTCCCTTTTCAAGATTTCTACACCATCTTCAGTTTCTTCCAATCCTACAGTTCCTGATAACAATTTGAGTTCACAGTAGAGCAACCCTCATCTCTAGAAATCATGTATCAAACTAGATATTAGAGTGTTGAATGCCCTCACCCTCCACCAACTTGACCAACAAGCTTCTCTATCCCGATGATATTATTTATCCATAGAAACTCGCCTAGTTATCTAGTTCACAAGTTACTAGTCGATACTAAGCCTTTATAAAGAGGGAAGGTTAGGCATAAAGCCAGCAACACTACCCCGGAAAACCAATCCAATCGCTAAAAAAACTTCAAAGCACAAAGAAAATGAAAACAAACTTATTCCTCCATGGAATCAGGGAGGCGAAATGACGCCGGTCGGTGGAAGCGTTCGGGAAGCCAATTCGCCGATGTGTCTTCTCTCGATTAAAGCAAAAGTAAGGATGGGGAAATAGAATGTCCTCACAATGTTTGAGGCTGACTGGCAAGGCTGTCCAGATTGCCAAAGAGATGAGGAGGTATAGCAGTGAAGTGTTAGGAATCTGCGAAAGCAGATGGAATGGAAGTGGACTCCCTCAACTGTCAACTGGAGAGTCAATAATCTACTCCGATATTGTCACCCAGACGACAACCACGAGCACACTGAGTTTTGGAGTGGATATCATGATGTCCCTGAGAGCATCGAAGGCTCTCATGCAGTGGCAACCAATCTCCTCCAGCATCAGGATCATGACAGTAAGGTTCAACGCAAAAGGAAGGAAAGTCACAATCGTACAATGCTATGCTATGCTATGCTATGCTACGCTACGCTACGCACCTACAAATAATGCAGATCAAGAGGAGAAGGATTAATTCTACAGACAACTGCAATCAGTAATGGACAAGACTACACTCCAGTTGACGACATCAAAATTCTAATAGATGACATGAATGCCAAACTGGGAGCGGACAATACAGGAAGAGAACTCATCATGCGCCGAGAAGCACTCGGTGAAATGAGTGACAATGGAGAACTGTTTGCAGACTTCTGGGCATTCAACGATTTGGTGATTGGAGACAGTGTGTACAAACACAAGTATATTCACAAAGCGACATGGAGTTGATTTCACCAGAAACCAGGACACACTACACTAAAAATCAGATCGACTTCATCTCAATGTGAAGAAAGTGGAGACGCAGTCTACTGGACACAAGATCACGAAGACGAGCAGATGTAGCACCACACCACTCACCATCGAGTGCAAGGAACCTTCCAAATCTAGTTGGAAGCCTTCAGAGAAGTTGGTGATAGACTACAGTTCAAGTTCAACACCCGGAACAGAAACTAACTGAAGGACGAAACTACAAAAGAAATCTTCACGGCAGCCATCAGAACAAAATGCGAGACATTGAGCAACATCCCTGAAGGATTGGGTGTGGAAGAACACTGGAACTCTTTGAAAGCTATGTGGAATGAAACCTGCATAACCTTATTGGGAAGGAAGAGGAAAGAAGATAAGGAATGGATCTCGATGGATACATGGAAGCCGATAGAGCAGGGAGAGGAAGATGGTGAAACAGAAGACGGACCAGTGTAATTTAGTGCAGTGCAGTGCAGTGCAAGGATGAACAACGAAAAAAGGAACTGAACACATCCTATAAAACACTACATTGGAGAAAGAAGTGAAGAAGAGTGAGCGTAAAGACAAAATACACTTCCACGACACACTGACAAGTGAAGCAGAACACGAAGCATGTAGGAGAGTCCTGACAACACTACATCAAATAACCAGGTTACTATCCGGGAAGAGATCAACGCGGATGAAACCAATGAAGGATAGTGAAGGGAACTTAGTTAACAAGGAGGAGAAACAAAGGAAACAATGGGCCGACCATTTGAATCGACCACCATCACCACCACTGAACTATCAGTGAACACAAATCCTCCAACAAAAGCCAAAATCCTGAACACCATACAGTTGCTGAAATCCGGGAAAGCAACAGGACCAGATGGAATTCCGACAGAAGCACTGAAAACAGATACAGGGACAACAGTGGACATGCTCACACCACTATTGCAGAAGGTCTGGGAGAAAGAGAGAAAAGGTACCTGGTGATTAGAAGAAGGGCTACCTTGTCAAACTCCCAAAGAAAAGAGACCTAAGTCTTTGCAAGAACTGGCGCGGAATCATGCTCCTATCCACCCCAAGCAAAATATTAAGCCGCATCATCCTGGAGAGACTAAAGGATGCGCTGGATTCAAAACTGCGACCGGGACAGGCTGGCTGGCTGGCTGGCTGGCTGGCTGGCTTCAGGAAGAACAAATCATGTGCGGACGAACTTGCAACGCTACGCCACGCATCATCATACAACAGAGCGTAGAATGGCAGTCAACTCTCTACCTCAACTTCATCGCTGTTGAAAAGGCTGAGAAATAATTTGTCAGGCAACTGCTTCAACACTACGGAATACCACAAACCTTTATCAACCTCATTCAACAACTATATGAAGGCGCGACATGCCAAGTGGTCCACAATGGAAAGCTCAATGACGCCTTTTGAAGTGAAGACGGCAGTAAGATAAGACTGCCACCTACTGTGATAGGCGTACGATTTGAAAGTATTTCTGTCACTTTTTATTTTTCTCGATTCGTCTGAGATATTGTTAAAAGTTTCTTACCCTTGCTGTTACGAAAAACACCTAAACAATCTATAGAGTGCTAGTAAAAACTTTAAAATTTCATAACAATTCAGATATTTGTCAATGCTTTTTAACTTATTCTGTTTTTCTTTAGATTTCCAATCATCCTTATTATGTTATCATGTTAATGTATACCATTGCAACAGATGCTTCAAATTCATTTGAATCAGTCACCATAGATGATAATCATGTCTTTAATAGAGACAGAAACGTTACACTTAAGATGGTATTCTGAAAGCCAAACGTCTAAATGTCCTTGTCGTGGTGGATGATTCCAGCAAACAAGGGGATACGCTAAGCAAGACAGAAAGACATTTAGGTGAGACTAGGAAATTCAACTGAATCAATGAATGGTGGTGAGTGCCTGCAAGATCGTGCTTAAAAACATCTATTTCAAGCCCAGCACATGTTTTGGACATGAAAAATACATTACCTGACATGATATCCTGTGTTCTTATTTCAACTGCGGACACTGTTGCAATATAATTATATCCGATGCTGCTGCAGACAATCGGTGAACGATTGGCACTGCTTCTAAACCAAGTGTTTGGGCAGTGATCACTCACTGGTTCCAGCACGCCAATGTCTACATCTATTTAGGTGTAGAAAACCGACTTGAAATTTAGTTCTGTGACGCGACTGTGAGTGTTGTTTTAGGATAGGAATTGGACAGATAATTATCGAATAGGACAATGTTACTAATCTGCAGTCTGCGGTAAAAACAGTGTTGGAGATCATAACTGACCCTCAAGTTTAAAGTGGCCTAGTAGATACCAGAAAATTCTACTGAAATAATGAATACATGTCAACGTATTCATGCAAGCTTGGGACACAATGAGAAACTGGAGAAACTCAAACGTAAACTGACAAAGAGTCTACTCAATGACCGTGAAGAGTCGAAATCACGGAAGGTCGAATAGATGAAAGAGGCAATTGTTTTAGGGTAGTTCATTAAGACTGTTGAAAGAAACTGTGGTCAAAAAGTCGATGCTTAGCGAGGCTATCAATGAGAAGAATAAGTAGGCGATTTGCCGGTATAGGAGACAACTAAAGCAATGGATGATAAAATCCGAAAAGTAGTTCAAACGAGATCACGTTACAGTTTGGTTGCCTACTCTTTAATGGCACATTATGATAGGCCGTTCAAATCTAGCCAAGGTTGGAAGGCCGTAAATCACCAGAAAAAAATATGGATAGGAGATCTTGACGGGCTTGCACTGGAACCACTTAAGGATGGTAGCTGAGGTGTATTGGTTCAGTAAACTGAAGTATAACACAGATGTATTTCGTTCGACTGACCTCAAGCACCTTTTCATAGTCTTCACAAAGACCGACAAAGTCATTTAGGATAACACCCAGAGGAATTAGTCTGACGAACATAGTGTCTAAAATTGGAGGTGCTGACATTATTAAACGTCTAATTAAATTCTAAGAACGCCGAATCTGAAAAAACACATACATTTCAGAAAAAATCGAATGTTTATCGACCAGATATTGATTTTCCGCTCGATCTTAGTTCACGAGCACACTTACCGTCACCTGACACTAACTTTGTTTATTGCCGTGAAGGTGACACTGGATTCCATCAAGACAAAAGTCTCATATCAGTGTCTTTTACTAAAAACGGTACAAGATAAGTACATAAATCTACCAAAGCTCATGCAATCAGTCATCAGTCTGTCATTCAAATCCTGTGGTATAATATCAGGTAAGCTATGTACATCTATATTTGTTCGTCAGGCCTGTCGTCTCCTTCCATTCTCATTTATCTTTGTCATAGACGTGCTTGTTAAGTTCTTCCTCTAATAGTCTGACATTAGGGATACTCGCTGTTAGACTCACAGAATGTATATGATACAGTCCTATTTTATCGAAACGTTGATAAGGTACACAGTGTGATGGATATCTTGAGTGTCGATTTGAAAATGTTTGAGATGGGTTTGTCGCCACTGCGATGCAAGGTGTTGCTCCGGGTCTGGTCTTTAGTTTTGTTTTGTGTTACAGCGAGAAGTGGAATGATTGAGTTTATTCACCACTTCACATGCTTGAGAATTCGGATCAGTACTGGTGGTTCGGTGACTGATCACTTTTGACTGTTATCAGACTACGTCATTCATAGCGTGTTAATCACATCTGACTTTATTAAGGGTCGTTATATTCTACTCTATGTCTGTGAGACATAACCAGTAAAGCTGTGTGCATCAGAGGGCTCCAGACGTTGTACTGCAGTTGCCATTTTGGCATTATTGTATGGTCTGGAGGCGTCGTCTAAGGTAAAGTTGAGGCGTAAAGTGTTAGGTAGGAGAAGGACGTTAGTTGATGATGTTGTGAACCTGCATTGACCCATACGATTGAAACATGATTTACGTATGTTGAGTGAAGTAGCTATTGGCTGGAAGAAGGTTAAAGGCGACCAAACTAAATTGTGGTATCATTCCATAATTGTTGACCTGAGTCACGTAGGGAAATTTTGAGTTACAAGGTCTGTGTCACAACGAAAACCAGTGGTTGTATACTTTGGGTTTTATGTGGCAGATTCAGAATTAGTGGCTTAGATGCGTCTAAATATTTTTTCATCCTAATCGTTATACTGAATTCCAGTATTTCCTCATTCTTCCTTGCTGTTGTATGATAGCTTTCTACCAATTTTAACTATTTCCTTCTCCATTTCTTTTTGTTTCATCTTAGAGCATTCTGAGTTGATGGAGTGATATGAGGTGTGGCACTTGGACAGGAACTCAGTAGTGCTGGGTCTTATGTTGATATTGTCTGTCTGTCTGTCCGAGAGGAATGAGGGATGGTTCTAAATTCATAATCCGGTCAAGCATTAACTCGTTATGACAATAAAAACACTGACTTTCTCTACTTATTATGAGTGCATTTTAGATCCAACTTGTCAGTTAATCTAATAACAGTGACCAAATTTGGATTTTATACAAGTTTTATAAAGTATTCATATATATATATATATATATATATATATATATATATATATATATTGCCTGTCCTATATTTTTCCTCAAACTAGTTGTTTAATGCTAATTGAAAGGTTATGGTATTTTCTCTCAGTAAATATCAATTAAACTGAATATTGAAATGCTGGTTATTGGTGAATGTGTAGGTGTTTAGAGGTAATTGTGAAACAAGACTCAACTTTCATTGTTCGTTTACCTAACGTGTGCCTTGTAGTATTGCTAGTGTAACTGTACCTAATGGGGGTAGGGAGAATCATTTGAAAGTTTAAAAGTATTTTTCATTTGTAAAAAATATTAGTCAGCTCATAATAATGTTAACAACTCGTTAAAAAATGTGTATTCAACCTACATCAATCGATTATAAAATAAGTTACGAGTCATTCCAGTTTGTCTAGAGATTAGTTAATCTTGTATTAGACACCCTATCTGTAGAACTAACAGAAGGGTAACAGAATCTATACGTTCCCTCAAATTCGGAACGATGCACCTTTACGAAATAATAAATATCTAAGCACATGCAGTACAGACTGAGAACACAAGATTTATCACCTGAACAGAAGTAATTAACGGAGAAAAAGATGTCTACCCTCACAGCTGATTTACGTTAGCAATCACTCGATGGCTTTTTCAGAAATCTGTTATCTTTACGGCCAGTGAGTAGACTTATGATTGCGAAATATTTGACTAGAAGATGAATAGAGCTATGCGACGAAGCATGAGTTTAAGTCCGATCTAGCGAGGAACACTTCTAACACATAGAAGTGCATTGAGTCCTATTTTGTTAAATACTAGCATCGTTCACGAAGTTAAATGAATATACTTTTCTTTATAACAGTCTGCTTCTAGGAAACTGACAGTTGAAAAAGTTTGCTTTCTTAATATCTGAACCCTTTTCGAAAGATGCAAAACGCTTTTCGGAATGTCTGTATACAAATATGTCTTATGCAGAGAAATAGTGATGATGAAAATCAAGATTATTTCATCGTGAATTGTCTTCTACAAATCAAGACTTTGTTTATGAAATGAGTCGTTGGTGCGTAAAGGCCATAACAGCAGTTTCTTATGATGATAGAACGATTAATTCCCCAAGTGGTTTTGCGTTTAGGTAAATTGAATTATAAAATGTATTCGTGTAAGTATCTGTGAGGTAAACATTTTTTGCAACGACAGAGTGGTTGTCAGTTTATCCGAATTTCATTTAATTAAAACAGAATCTTTATTAGCCCACAGTTGCCAACACTTCCCAACCTTGTTCGCAGTCCTTATATGTATAATTTCATTTGGAAACTCATATTTTATTTATGCAGGTTGGCTATATTATGTTCCATATACGTACACCAAGTTTCAATGCCCCTCAATCCATTGCCAGTGCATTATCTGTGCTACATTTGGTAAGTGCATGTGTATTTAACTTTGGTAACAGATAGTCATTAAATATTTTTAAAGCAGAAAGCTCAGTATTTCCGGCATATTTATTAATTTATGTACCGAAGATATAATTTTCTGAAGTACTGTTGATGTTGCGTGAGCTGTGAACATAACCAGTCTTAATAACCATGGGGAGCTAGATTTATCCATTACAAATTACTCTCCATAGTTGATTTTTATGGGCACAAATTTTGACGTTTAAAACAATAGCTTTTAAGTTGGTATTTATGTACAGTTTTTGTGTTTTTGAAGCAAACATAAATTAGTATGATTCTGATTGTATGTAAATACTGTTTACAGTGACAGTAAATTCATTTCTTATATTGTATTGACATGCAATGAAATTTAGTGAGTCTACATACTCGCAGTTTGATTTTATCAATATATCTTGCTTAATTTTGACAAAAAATAATGGTGTTAGATGCATATTAATCCTAATGGCTAGACTGAAATCCAATTATTATTCAGTTGATAAAGATGAATACTTGACAAATAAAATTAACTAGTTTCCAAGATCTCACTAATGTGAGTTAATTTATAATATCTGCAACTCTTTAAGTCACTTTAACCGACTGAAAGATTAATAAGAAGGGCCTAGTAGAAATCAACATTCTAAGTCATCAGCCTAATGGAGAAAAATGTTTTTGCAACCTTGTTTTATGTCTTTGTGTGGACAAGAAAAGTCTTGTTTAATAATTTTGTCCTACACCTGACCAATCAAAAGAAGTATCCGATTTCTGACCTAGTGGCCTCATGTGCTGAGGAAAACTGTATATAAATGATGTGTATTTTTGTCAAATAAACAACAAAATTGGTGGTGAAGCAATTGTACAACTTAGTTCCTTTGTCTGGTTTACTCTGCGTATACTGCTAGCGAACTCGATTTGGGTTAGGTGAACCGGTCGTTTGGTTTCTGTGTAACCTCGACCTGACTTGCAAGTATTTTAAACCGCTGTCAGTGACCTAAAGGTTCTCACGTCACTTGGTTTGACCTAACTTTATGTAAGGCTTAGTTGCTGTGGCCCGAATATCCCCTGTAATGTTGTCCTTAAAGTCAAACCTCATATTAACTAGTTAAATTATTACAGATGGCGGTTGAAATGTTCAAATGTTAGATCCCGAATGCACTTTTTATTTATATTCCGTTTCGACACTAGAATTTAACGGTATTTCATCAATTGATAACAAATGTGTATAAAATACGTTTATTTTATTTTCCGAGTAGAGATTCCACACACATTTTCCCTTTTATGAACTTGAATAGAGGAAGAACTGAGATTAAAGCTAAGTAACAATATCCCATTATATTTTGCCGATTTTTTATCAGCTGCTAACAACCTTAAAGCATTTAAATATCATGTCACAAGAGCGTTTGAACATACCCTTTTGCAGTTAAATGAAGTTATTTAACAAGGAACGACATGGTTTAATAAAGAATACAAAAGCCAAATAAAGTTGGCAAAACGTGCTAAGAAGTTTCAGTTATATATCTCACTCAATAGAGAGTTCGAGAAAATAATACGAATAGTAATGAGAGGTTACGTAAGAAGATTGACAAGTCGGTTAGTCGATGATAAATAATAGACAAATTAGACGATAATACATCTAGTTGAACTCAGTTGGTTGAACAGTCATCAAATTATCCACAAACTAAAGAAAGGTTAAGTCAAAAGATGATGTTATCTAATACAAAGAATCACGTTCTTTATTGACTGCCGTGATGGATTCTAAGGTGAATATGATGCCGAATGACCACACCATTGAAACTTAGGCTTTTTCGTACATGTTCAAATCTCCTTGTTCTTCTAATTCAACTGCTATCACAGATGCACGCAAACTTTAACACACAGTTGGAGGTAACATGAGAAAGGAACTCGTTGACTTTTTATTGTACCAAGGAGCATGTTGTTCTATAGAGAAAAATCAACTAGGGTGCAGGATATGTTCTGTTCCCTGCGATTTTCATTCTTCTATTAATTCTCTCAACTACATTGTCACCTTTGAATTCAATAAAAACAGGCTTCTTGTTTATTGTCACATGGTTTTAGATCTCCCTTATTTATTGATAAAGTTCATAGTGAACAGTTTTGTAAATGATCAGCGATTCTTCTTGGAATTTGTGACTGATCAATAAAATAGTGTTTTGACTACTGCTCGTTAAAAACGAATTGGAAAAAAAGTCGTTCAAACTTAGGCACAATCCATCCCGTGTACTCTTTTGATGAATAGAACTTTTAAGAGTATCGTCCTTTCTACGTTGCAATGTGATAACTAGAAGAGACTCAAATAATTATTGTTTTTATATTCCATGATGTAACCAATATTTTCATGAGCATCACTGAAGACTTATAGTAAGTGGGGTCCATGAATGACATCGGTGGCTACACACGATGTAATGTCAACATATATGGAATAAGACAACGGTTGTTAAGTTGTATGCGCTGAATAATACTTTGACTTTCCAAAGGTGCTACTCCATTGACATGCGAAATCTTTCTCATGAAGAAGATAATACATTCCGTTAACTTAAATCTTCTTTTAAACACATAAAAGTAGTTCTCATTACAACAGTACGTCCACCTAACTCGATTTATAAACCATTTTCTTAGGAAAAAAATGTAATCCTTATCTGTATCATGTGGGGTAACGTAGGTTAGCAGATCTGTATTCATGTATGAAGATAAAAATAGTATTTCTCATGAGAAATCTCAGTGATGAGTGAATTTGAATGGCTGCTTCTACATCTAAGTTGTTTATAAAATAAGTTTACTCATCATCCCAGCATACTGAAATCCACTTATTTAAAAATACTATTATTTTGGGTTGCAAATATGTAATACTGTTGATACAGATATGAAAATTGACTTGATATCAAGACGAAGATTATCTGGAAAATGTGATGTATTTGCGCAACACATTTCGAACAATCTGATCACACATTTACTTGTCAAGTCAATTTGTATATGAAAATTAAAGGTCAAATATGATGAAAATGAAAAGGTTGTGACACTAGTCTTGGTAACATAATCAGATAAGGATTACCAAGGTACAATTTATATGTATGTGTATGGGCACACAAACATAGGGAGGAGTAATCGTTCAATGCAGACTAGGGTGGGTGAACACATACCTAAATGGCTAGAAAAACAGTTTAACACAAACTTTGATAGGTGCAGGTGACAGACATCCATCGTCATCTATAGCAAAACATATTGAAATGAATCACAGGGTTAATACGAAAGCAGCCTTCAAGATATTATGCAGGAATAATCAGGGGCGCATACTGAAGTTTGCCGAAGCGTTCACCATTCGTAAACTTAAGCCCCCTCTGTGCGTACAAAAACAATTTGTTGTTTCACTTAATTTACCTTGGTAAACCTTATCTGATTATATTACCAAGACTAGTGTCACAACCTTTTCATTTTCATCATATTTGACCTTTAATTTTCGTATACAAATTGACTTGACAAGTAAATGTGTGATCAGATTGTTCGAAATGTGTTGCGCAAATACATCACATTTTTCAGATAATCTTCGTCTTTTATCGGAATTTATTAAAGAGACTAATTGTTTCAAATTAATATCAAGACTAAGTTTTGTCCTTAAAATAGAACCTCCTTCCCTATAGTCCTAGTATTCTCGATTTCCTTGCAGCCAAAATAACCTCATTAACAAAGAGGATGTAAATTCTGTGTAGGGAGCGCTGAAGTTAAAAAGGAATTCAACGCAAACCTTGATCAGTGTTGACTGCGTGTTTGAAAATCGTGTAGCATGGTAAAATCCACTTTTGAGAACTGTAACACAGTCGCATAGTACTCATATAAAGTTTTAAAGGGGATTCACCAACTTAAGATGATTCCTCCACTAATCTGTTCAAACTGTATCACTGGATTTTATTGTTGTATTTCACTAACTTAAGAACTTAGTAGAATCAGTATGATGAAGTAGGTTTATTCACGGATTGCAATTTTATTTTATATCAGTGATTCTTAGGACAATCTTTTAATTCAGACTATTACTAGCTGGACTACTATTGAAAATCAAACCAAAACACATCAAAAAGCTTCTGCATTCTATCGTGGGGCATGTTAACTCATGAACTTTTGAGGTTGAATTCAGTGATTAGCATTTTAAATCTTAGCCAGTAGTTTGTATAGTCGGGCTACTAAAGATTTCTGTAAAGAGAGATAAGGGCTTTCTGTGGGCCCAGGACAGTAATGAAAAACACTTTCAAGTACTCCGAAAGGGTCTAATTCACTAACCAAATTTTCCTATTTATTCTTCAGGTCATCCCACATGTCCAAAATGTTTACTTTAAAGATCTGAAACAAACAATGAGGCGGGAACAGATTGATGTAAGTTATGTGATAGGAATAGAAATATTTTGTTATTTTTTCGGAGAATGTTACTGCATATTGGTAATTTTATATATTACTGGTCAAATGTAGTATAATTGAAGATCTAAAAGAAATATAACACACTGCAGTATGACAACACGTTTGAAAAATAAAATAAAAAAGGTTAGTGTATCTTGATAATGAGAAGGAGAAATCATTTTCAAGAAATCATACCCAAGAGGAATTTCTTCAGACTATTAGTCTCGTTCTGGCTCAATGATTAATCACTTTAGCGATATATCGCCAACTTAGTGCACTTAAATCTGAGCCAAAAATAAAAATAAATGGTAACATCTTAATTCGCTGATCGGAGTTATTGAAATCAGATCAACAGGATTATTATTTCTGTATCTTGAATAACAACAGTTTCATTTGTTCCCCCTGAACCAATTTTATCCATTCGATTTATGATAAAATCCACTATTTTTTTAATTCGACAA